ATATATATATATATATATATATATATTCTTAAGTTTTCGCGGGTACTTACATGTATGTTATTCAGCTTTGTTCGGGTATTTTCCCACGTCATTATAGTTGTGCTTTTAAAGTTGTAGCAATGTTTCGGCAGAATCTCATCTGCCATCATCAGGCTTCTGTATTGTGTTCATCTGTGAGTCAGACTTTTACAGTTGTTTCAGTTTTAAATTTGGGGCTAGCCTACTGCTGTGCCAGAATGTTTTTTTTCTTCATCTTGATTGGTTGGGAGTCTTGGTCTGTGTTTATTGGTCTTGGAGTTTGCTGTGTTCATAAGAGGTACTACAGACAAAATCAGTAATATACTACACAGGCATCACATCAAGACTGCCTTCAAAACAGACAGAAAAATAGCAGCCATCCTTAGAAACCCCAAAGACAAAATTGACCTGGAAAACCAAGGCATATACGAAGTCCCCTGTGCATCATGCCCGGCCACATACATTGGACAGACCAATAGAAGAATAAGTACCCACCTGGATGAACACAAAAATGCAGTAAAAAAGCTGGAACACACTTCTTCACTAGTCCAACACATGAAAGCCACAGGTCATAGCATCAACTTCAATGGCACCAAAACCCTAGCCACTATAGAAAACCCCAACCACAGAATCATCAGAGAAGCCATAGAGATTGAAAGAAGACCTGAAAGCATGAATAGAAGAGATGATTCCACCAGACTGTCAATCATTTGGAAGCCTGCACTCACAAACAAAAAAATCTCCACACCACTAGCCAGGCAAACACCTGGGCACAAACAGATCCCCCCTGATACCTCCAGCTCAAACACACCCCAACCAGGCACCCAGATGAAACCTAGCTTCCTAACAAATGATAGCCGTCTGTTTACTCGGAGCCAAGCTGCACTAAAGGCCTCCAATAAAGTAACACAATGTTGCCAGCCAATCAAGACACAAAAAAGCCACAAAACAGACAGAAGATATTAGAAACACCAATCAAGCAGAACACAGCAATCTCCAAGACCAATAAACACAGACCAAGACTCCCAACCAATCAGGATGAAGAAAAAAACATTCTGGCACAGCAGTAGGCTAGCCCCAAATTTAAAACTGAAACAACTGTAAAAGTCTGACTCACAGACGAACACAATACAGAAGCCTGATGATGGCAGATGAGATTCTGCCGAAACGTTGCTACAACTTTAAAAGCACAACTATAATGACATGGGAAAATACCCGAACAAAGCTGAATAACATACATATATATACATAAAACAAATTTCTCTGGAAGATTAGATGAAAAGTTCTAGAGAAAAAACCAGTAAGATAGGAAGAGAACTATAAACAATCCCAGTGTGACTGAAATTTTATAAAGCACCCTATCTCTAAGGCCCATCAAGTGGTAGGCTCTATGATAAAAATATTTTTTTGGATCTCTGACCTCTTCTATCATTAGAGGTCTCAAATTTTATGTTCCTGGTTCTCTTCTGCTAGCCAATCTTCCCAGTGTCTCATGTTGTGTTTATGATTGGTTGGTATTCTGACCGCTTGCTTTCATACCTAAGGAGTCATGAAATTAAGAACATTCATGGATCTATTTTGATGTCACAATATATGAAGCAGATTTTGCCCAGAAAACAGAATGCTAGGATAGCTATGTGTTTTGACCTTAAGCACCATATAAGTCATCGATCTGGGAGATTTTCCTACCCAATATATCCTTCATGAGGAGGACAATAACTCATATACAGCTTTACATGGAAAAGATCATGGGTTCATTTGTCAGCATTTCTAGTTATGGCTGGAAATGTTGTAGGAACTGAATTGTTGCCATACTGTAATATCGAGACACAGTTACAGGGTCCAATGGCCTGTCTTCATATAAGGCAGCTTTCTTTGATCCTATGTTCCCAACATTTTTCTCCCCAGTATGCCTGTTCCTCTTGCTCCCCTCCAGCATTGCTACTGTAACTGGTTGGTTTTCTATTTTGCTCAAGTCAGGAATTGACATAGTTCAGCAGAGTTTTAGGAGAAGAGGAAGGCAGGTTCTTGTGGCAGAGTTCTGGCCTACAAGAGGTACTTCAGTAGGCTTCTCGAGGCATTTGGTTTGGAAAAAGATTTCATTGGCTTAGATTTTAAAGAGCCACTGAGGTATATGGGCACTTCTGTATCACACAGATAGGCAGTCCGATTGCCTCCTGGTGCTTTGGAATACAGCTATCATAGTTTGCAGCCATCATAAACAAAAGAAAGGGTTGTGGGAATCCCTGTCCAAAATCTAGAGAACCAGCTCACCTTCTGTATGGGAAGAACCAGTATTTCTTTGAAATGGCAGATTTCTACAGGGCTGGTCGCTTCTTAGGTATTTTAGTTTTAAGGCTATAAACAAGATTGTTCTAAAAAGGCTACATTTTGTAGCCTATTGACAGAGAAGCATCACCCGCCAGCCTTGTAAACCTCAGGATTGTATATATGGGTGCATGAGCCAGCAATCAGTAGGTTCCTTGATAAATTATTATCTTAGAGCATAATTTCCCCCCAGCTGGGACTCTTTCCCTTTGAATCAGATGCCAGTGTGAAGTCATAGATCAGCTGGTGGGGAGTGGTGATAGGGAAAGCACAAGAACACACTCTTCCCCTGGGGCCAAAATCAGATTTATCACCCCTGATCCTTGCCTAGCTTTTATGGGCTTGGAGCCTAATTTCCTAAGCTGGTTTAGGCTGGCTAAAAACCACCAAGGGTCTGGTGTACTAATACTTTAGCTCTTGCATTGCCTCCTCCCTGAATGACTATCTGTACAAAAATGTTAAAAAAAAATCTTAATCTATTGAACATCAGTTGACTAAAGTTCCTTCCATGAGAATACTGTGAAACATCCACTGTCTCTAAAACAAATCTTCATGGTTAAGTTAAGGCAGGACTGTGATAGATACCTCTTGGGTATCTTAAATCACACTCCTTTATAAGCAAATGTGTGTTTATATTTTGCAGTAAGCACTATCCTTCTTACTCCCTCAATGTGGCATCCATGTGGCTGAAGCTGGGAAGACTTTATATGGGCTTGGAAAACAGATCAGCTGGTGTTAAGGCTCTCAAAAAGGTACACTTCTTGTCTTTGCAGAATATTGGTGTTAGTTTAATTTGAACCTTCATGTCGTCACATAGAAATGTTTTGCTTAGGAATATCTGTTCATTCCAAAGGGCTTTGTATTATAATGTTCTTTGTTGTGAATTCCTACTTGGAAGTTAGCCTCCTTGATTTTAATGGGATTTATTCCCTATTAAATGTATATAGGATCATACATTCAACTTTTGCCTGCCACCAAAATAGTAAAATAAAAGATGTCCCTCAAATCAAAATAATTATTTTTAAAATAAATGATTCTAAATATTTCCCAAGTGTATTTCTTGTTGTTGCTCAACTGTTCAGTTCAGGTAGTAGAAAGAGAGAGCTGAGTTTAATTAACGCATGTGGGTTTTCCAACAAGGTCCCTCACTGAAAAGTTGTTCTGAGTTTTCATGCTTTTGTGTATAGTCAGAAGCTGTTCAAAAACTGAATGTTCTTGGCCGTGGTCAAAGCTGACATGTGGCACCAAGCAGATTGCATTTCAGCAGCTAGTTTGAATGTTAGTGCATATGGTAGTCAAAATATTTTTTTTGTCTGTGGCTTCACAAAAAACCATGTGTTGGGGAGGAGGGATGTGTGTGCGAGCAGTAGATGTAGAGACACAGATTTTGCTTCCATTTTTTCATTTTGGGGGACTCGTTTTGCTTCTGTGGGGACAATTGCTGGAATGCCTTCTAGTGGGTCACCATCCAGGCAGGAATGATAGAAGCTTTCTAGAAATTAGAGCAAAGATGAAAAGGAAGCTGGAGTATACAAGGGTTAATGGAAGCAACTACTACAGAAAGCAGCTTATATCAATTATACACCAGTCTTAATTCAAGAGGACAGTTCATCTAAAATAAGTTGATGAATCATGTAGGATGAAGGATGTTTATTCCCCGATTTTTGTTACTTTGTGTGATTCCACCTAAATTGATCCATTGCCAATATGGCTAATTTGCTTTAGAATTAACCTGAGATTTCACCTTCATGAATTTCTTTGTATCCTCCTGCCACTAGCTAATTCTGTGATCACTCCTAATAACATACTGATTTTAAATTGCCTACATATTAATTCAGTACCTTGGGAAAGATGCTTTGTGACAAATTGTCAATTGTATCCTATCCTTGTTGTATATAAATAATTTTTATTATTAATTATATCCATTAATCTGGAATTACCTCCAAAATATTTTTCTAAATGTTATATATCTGATTTTAGTTGGCTGTGCTTTTCCAATTGAAAGTATTTCAGGGAAGCATCTGTAATAGAAATGTTATCATCATCATTATTAAAATGCATAAGCCGCCTGACTTTTAATGACTATGGGTAGGCTTGCAATTGTTAAAAACATTTACAAACAAGGAAATAATAACAACAGCCAAGGAATAAAGATGACAGAAATAACCCAGCTGGAAACAAAGAAAAAGAAGAAAAAGGTGCTTCAATCACACTTGCCAAAGGCCTGTGCAAAAAGCCACATCTTGAGAGGGCAAAGCACTGCTACATAGAAAGTGACTTTTGGGGTCCCAATAGATAATGTTGTTTAATCAAAGGAATCCTACCAGATTGGTTGATTTTACAGGAGACAACTAGGCCCTATGCCATCTAGGGCAACCACACCTTGAATTGCACCTGGAAGCAAACTGTCAACCAGTATAGCTTGTGAAGCTGAGGTGTTATATGGCCCTACCGAGGCAGTCTCATCACCGCCTGCAGTGCTTCATTCTGGACCAACTGAAGCCACTAGATCAGGGGTGTCAAATGCGTCATGTGCTGGCCCCACCCCGTCCAGTTTAGTGAAGAGGGAAAAAGTCCCGATATGTCATGTGACGTGGCCGTGATGACATGAGTTTGACACCCCTGCTCTAGATGGTCTTCAAGAGCAGTCCCATGTAGATGATAATCTACACCTGTGATGATTTCAGTTTAATCCTGTTCACTTTTGGCGGGCCTATTAACTGAAAATAGGAACTGGAATCATCAAGGTGAACTATTAATCCTTTTTAGGTATGTTTATTGCCTTGAATTATATATAAAAATAACAAAAAGAGAAAATGAATAAAAATAAAATAAAGTATTATCTTAAATCTTTGTTGAAATATTTTAACTGTGGTTAATTTATCCTAGGAGGGGAAAAAAAACCCTGAGAAAATTGCCACAATTTATAAGTATAAGTACTTCCCTCCTAATTGTGGCACAAATGATTGCAAGGGTCTTAGCGTGGACTAAGGCCAGCTTTACTTATATGGTCACTTAGGTTACCGAGGGAACATGACCCACTCTTCTTGACTACTCAAACTCCATTTTGTAAAACAGTGTTTTTTTTTAATATAATCAGGGCCAAATGTGGATCGAAACAGCCCTAGGCAAAAGTCCTCTTAAGTTTGGAACAGAAAAGCAGATATAATGTCATTTAACTTTTTGCTTTTCTATGCCTTTCAAAAGAGCTCAGAGATCTCTCAGGACCAAAGGTACTGTGTATAGAATACGGTTTGATACTTACAATCAAATGGGCTGTTTTCAATGGGGTACATTTAAGAGGACAAAAACCAGCCAGAGGTTTCTGACTCTTTGGAATCCCTGACGAGCATATTTCATAAACCAAGGCTGTCGGAATCAATTGTATTTTTCCCCCCTTTTGCAGGCAATCGCTATCATGGAGATAGCACACGGGAAAGATCATCCATACGTTATAGAGATCAAAAAGGAATTAGAGACCCACTGAGTCTTTGAATCTATGTAATCCTTCAACCTTTCTTTAAAAGCCTTGCTATGGAAACTTCAGGGGTGCTTTGAAAATTGACAAGGAATGAAAGCTTTTCTGTAAAATAATTGGAATGACAAACATGTGGTGCATTTGGGCCTTGCCTCTTCCATTCTCTGAGGTCTATGTGAAATATCCTGAGCCTTGATGAATTAATTCTGAATGCCTTTTCCTCCCTAAGAAAATGCCATGGTTTCACACAGCTAATGCCTTTGATTGATCATGTGCAAAAATGACCAGTTCTTTCCTCAGTTGAGTTTAATGTATTGTATCTTATGCAAAACAACTAATTAAATGTGGACAACACTGCTTGACCTGAATTGCTTGTTTGCCTCGTTATTGTGATTTAGGTGTTTAAAAAACATCCTGGGTACCATTTTTTGTAACTTTTAAATATAATTACACGCCTTGCATCTCAGAAGTTAAAAAAGTTCAAGACTATTAGATATACAACTTGACTGTTGATGTTGCATATATTTGGTCTCTAATTATATCCTTACTATGCTTACTCAAGTTTGTGCTAATAATACATTTAGGGATTGTGAACGCTTCATATATTTTCTTAGCATTGTGAATTGCTTTATAACTTAATATGCCTGGTTTAATATGAAAAAAATGGAAGCTTGTCAATTATGTATTCCTGTTCCTTAATAGGTAGGTTTTTTCCCCATCTGGAAATACTTTTACTGTATTTGTGTTTTTTGAAAAAACATTTAGCTGATACTCATCTGCATGTATTTTAAGAAGCATACATTTGCCAAGTGCCTTCTGCTCATTTGGCCATAAAGATACCAAATAGAATTCAATGCAGCTTGTTTATATAGAAGTTAAATCTTAAGAAATATCCTTTCCTTCCATGAATAGCAGTATTCAGTGCTGCTACACATGATGGACTTTATTCAGCTTAATTTTGCCTCTTCCAATTAAAGGCAATGTATTATCTTAAAAATTCAAATATAAAGCTGATTGGTTAAATCAGGGGTCTTCAAACTTGACAGCTTTAAGACTTGTGGACTTCAACTTCCAGAATTCCTTTTCCAGTCATGTTAGCTCAGGAATTCTGGGAGTTGAAGTCCACAAGTTTTAAACTTGCCAGGTTTGAAGACCCTTGGGTTAAACGCTAAAAGTACATTTAGAGTAATTCTATGGTATATGTTTAATTGGAAAGAAACTTGAATGATTTAGGCAGGTTTGTCCTCTGAGCTTGCTGCTTGGCTCCTGGACATTTTGTTACCAACTAGGTAACATCTTCAGCAAGGTTTTGGGGCAAAGTGTCTTGTTCATTTATATAGGTCCTGGGTGGTTGGTTAGTCTTGTGATTGAATCACAAGACTGATTGAGTTATAAGACTGATTCTGGTCTTATGACTTCTGGCCGGTTGCTGGGAGGCATGAAATTTGATAGTCAGGAGTTGATTGACTCTGTGGTTGGTTGGTGGTTTGGATGGTCTGTTTCCTTATTGGTTTGTATGCTTGTCTATGTCAATGTCTTCGTTGATGGACCCATTGGCAGAATGCCAGGCTTTGATAAACACACATGCCTGACAGGTTTTGGTGTGGCCAATGAATTTGGCTCCATCCAAGTTGAAAGAGTGTTTGTTGTTGGTTTGACTGTCGATCAGGGACTTTGAGTCATGCCATTTGACAGCCAGCTGGTGTTCATGGATTCTGGTTTTTAACTGTTGTCCTGTCTGCTGGAGTAGAACTGGTTAAAATTGTTGCAACTGATTCTGTCTATTATGTTGGTGCTGTCTTCCGTGGTCTGTCTTTGATCTTTGCACCCCGCTGAAGATGTTACCTAGTTTGGTAACAAAACGTCTGGGAGGCAAGCAGCAAGCTTGGAGGACAAACCTGCCTAAATCTACAACCCGAGCTATAAATATTCTCTCCTGTCTCAGACTTGAATGAATTGTAATTTCCAAACAGATGGGCTGTTTCTTCATACTTGATGCTTTCTTACAGCACTTTTAAACAAATGCTGATTGTTGGATAACGTTATGTTTCAACAACAGATGCAAAGTGTTTTTCAAACGTCATTGCAGGAAGTGGGATGGACAGCATTGAAACTAAAACTGCCAGGACGATTGAATAATCCTAGTCTCAAATGGAACTTTCTCTGCTGGTTACCTAGTTACTCATTGGCTTGTCTGAGTGACAGAAATTATCACGGGACCTTAATTGACCCTGACTGAGCTTTAAAAAGTTCAGCAGGTTCAGACCCAGATTATTCTTACATGGGAGATGACCAGGAAGTCCCAAGACTGGAAACCACACTGGAAAGTCCCAAAAATTGTTGAATTTTATCTACAACATAAAATAGAGAACACAAAGCATTATCTAAAAGAATTTCTGTGCCGTTTCTAGAAACCTGTATAGTTGTCAGTAACAAGAAGTCAAGCATGACTCAAGGACTGTATCTTTTAAATAATGAATGGGTTAGCACTCATAGAGGACATATTTGAATATTATTTCTACATGTCTAAAAGTGCCTAAACAATTTGGACCATTTTCCTTTTTAAAAAAGTGTGAGACCAGAAGAGTGGAAAGTATCTAGTGCCAATAGTATTTTTGATGAATCAAAGTGTGAACGTCCTCTTCTCTTCCTGGATTTGAAACAAGGTAATGCTTGTCACTTACTAATTCTTCTTTTTCTCTCTTGAAAGCTATGCATCTTCCCGCTCTAACCAGCAGCATCTGCAGATACCTGTATAGTTATTATATGGTATCATTTCCATAGTGCCTTCCCCTTCTTATTTGGAAAACGCTAACTTATTCCCTCACCATTTTTAAACTTTAAAAATGATTAGAAACAGCATGCTAATTCATCTTCGAATATGGTATATGAATGCCTTTTCATTTTGTAATTTGTAGATGCTTGTTATGTACGTTAAAAATAAAGTATCTTCTTGGACGTGACTGACTGTGTTATTCTTTGAAGTGGTTATTTATTACTTTTGCTGAAACTCAGTAAATTTTTGCAAGTTTTTCTTATGCTAGCTGTCTAGAGAAGGCGTGGGAACATGTAACAAATCAGTCTCTCCAACCTTTCCTCTCTCCATACACACGAGCAGGCCATTAAGTTATTTTAAAACTTAATTAGGCAAATTTAACAGCTGCCTTTTCTCTCATTCAGCACATATCCTGGAGATGGTGCATGGAAAGCCAGCTGGGTAGCTTTGGGCCAGTCATTCTCTCTCAGCCATCTCACTTCACAGGGTTGTTGTTGTGGGGAAAAATAGGAGGGGAGAGTATTAGATATTTTTGCCACCTTGGGTTTGTTTATAAAAATAGTAAAAGTGAGAGATAATTAAATACAAAATAAATTATACAGAGCAAACTGATTCTAAATTAATCCAAATCTGATGTGAACACCTTTTAAATTACCCCATAATTCCTTGCAGGGTGGAGGCTGGACAACTGAATGGAGCTGAATATTTACTGGCCAGATGCTCTTCTTATTGCCAATGCGGAGTTATATTCAGCAGATATATTCTCATTGTGCCCAAAGAGAGAAATATTTGCCTTTACCTAGGATTGAACTCACAGCCTCCTGATTGTGAGGTGACAGCTCCACCTCTAGGCCACTGCGTCACTCAACAGCATATACAAAATAGTCACAGCCAATGTTTTTCAAATCAATACACTTGATTATTAGAAAGTTGAAAAAGTTTTATTGCATAATAAGAAGGCTAAGCATAATCTTTTACAAAACAAAGCTTGAATCAAAATTTTCTTACATCGCAAATATTTACAAAAAGGCAGTGTAAGATGTAAAAAAACATATTGCAATTATATGCTGAAGAAAAATTATAAAAACCAAAGGAAAGCGGAGAAAGTGCAAAATACTGTCAAAAGTCAATTGCTTTTATACAAAAGAAACCAACAAGCAGAAGCTTATGTACTGATACAAATATAAAATGGCATGCATAGGTTTTTTTTAAGGCTTTTAATGGTACAAAACAATGGGAAATGGATTATGGCAACCAAAATGAATTCATAAAAGGGCTGAACTTAATTGTTTACAAAATGTATATTTAAGAAACAATATTTTTTCCTACGATGGCCCTGGACTTAAGTTTATAATGCAATTTTCAAGTGAGCAATAAAAATACTGCAGTAAACCAGAACACAAAGCAAGTATTTGGTATAATTTAGGGACATCCATATAGAACCTTTTTGTGAAATACCCACTTAAGATACTTGTCTTAAGGTACTAAGCTGAAACTGGAGGTGATCTCAGCAGACAATTATTGTTACTTTGCATCTTCTAGTGTTACTAATGCCTTTTAGTACTGAACAGCAGCACACCCACAGATACACACACATAAAATTTTAGAAAAACATCATCAGTGATAAACTCATTTCTAGACCCTATGCTGTCAGTGAAGAATTCAAATCTACTGTTGCAATGGAAGTTTACATTCCATTCTAATTGTTTCCAAAAGAAAATATTACAGAATGGCATTCAAGGCAGCTTGCAAACTTCTGTGGCAGGCTCATTAAAAAATAAAAAATCAAGACAAATACAAGCTATTTGAAATATATGAATATAGAGAAGTCTAACACAGCAAAGAAATGCATTTTTTAAAGGTAATAGTCAAACAATTAACTTTGTAGCATTATCTTTAGCGCACAGGACATTTTCTAATTGTTGCATGATTGCCCAATGTTCTACCATCTTACAAAGCAATGGCCAGAGACAATGTTACCTATCTATCAGGCATAGGGCTTCTAGGCCAGAGGGCTGTGCTATCTTTTAGCAGCTAGGAATATCTCTCAACACGTTTTAGAGGTTAAGAGTTTATTTCTCTTCTTTTGGAAGGTTTTTTTTTAAGTCATTCATATAACTTGCTTTACACTTTCCCAAATATTAGATTTATGCTAATTTTAGCAGTGCTAAAGAGGAGGGGGAGCATAAAACAAGGGATTGTTGGCAACTCTGGAGCTGCAAATGGCTCCTTTTTGTCCTGTGATATGAAGCCTAAAGCTGAAACTCAACGTGGTTTATTTCTGTGGTTTAACTGTAAAGTGTTAATCCCTAAAGTGAATTATGTTTCAAACACTTAATGGTGATATATCTAAATATGGCTAAAGTGATAGTCTAAACTTATACTTGCAATTTTGGGGGGAGAATGACTATGGGGTCATCGTTTACTAATTTATATAAACTGGAATCATTGTCAGTAAGTCTTTAACAGAACTTCCTACATTAAATTAACTTGTGAATGAAATCTTTCCCAGCTGAAACCATGCTTTGGATTACAGGAGACCTTTTTCTTGTTTTGCTAAAGAAATAGAGAATGCTGTTATAAAAATCCATAGAATCACTGAATTTGAGACTAATCGCAGATTCACATATGCTGTATAAGCTTAATGAAAGTGCAAAGCTGTAATATGAGTTAAAATAATTCCATTATGGAGCATGATTATATCCTAATTATTTAACAATTAATATCAATTTCATTTGTATTTTGCACAGCCAACACTAAATAAAAGCTGAAAGAATTCAGTGCAAGGTCAGAGCATCTACAAATGTATAAACAATTATTTGAGGACAAGGTTTGGAGATATGTTTCTTTTTACACTTTGGTGCTACGATGGAATATATCATAAGAAGGCATTCTAAAAAATATCTACATCACATACAAATGGGTTACATGATCTGAAAATGTGATGCACAATGGAGTCCAAATGAGGAAACCCCATCCAGTATTGTCCAGGCAAAATGCATGGTAACTCCAACCTTTAAACACATGTAGATACATAATTGTGGCAGCCCTTGTTCTAAATGTAGGCTGTACTCCATGAATGTCTGAAACATAATGGGCAGTATAAATATAGTATTTATTTAAAAGCAGATTAACAGCTTGATTTGATGCCATGTTTTCAATCAGTGTTAACTGCACTTACAGTATATAGAGGAATCTCAGTCTTCAAGGTAGTAGGAAGTTTTAAGTGAATTTTTACTTATTAATGATTTCTGGTATTATTTAAGAAATGATGTGTTGTAGGATACACTTTATGGGTGTGGGTAATATTTAAGTTAGATTTGGAAAAACAATGTGAGTGTAGAAATTTGCTGCCAAAATATGAAAGCCCAGAAGGAATATATTCAGGCAACCAAAGTCATCATAATCTAGAAAGGATACAAGAAATTTTATCTACAACTTAAAAGCTAAATAGCATGGTTTTATATATATATATCCCTCATGAGTGATCTTAGGAATAGAATCAGATTGAAAAGGTCTGTCTGTATCTTCAGTAACTACTGTCCTTATCTTAGTGTTTTGGATTTACAAGTTAGTCATGCACTTTTAGTTGCAACTTTGGGTAGTAATGCTTATGGCAGAAGCTATATGTGACAAGGCAAGAGATGTTCATGGGAATAATTTTATCTTTTGATCAAGAGACCTGGCAAAGATAATTCAAAACGTACTAAACCACTTTATTAAATACAACATAAAATTAAGAGAGTGCCATTTGGTGTCGTGATTAAGGCATCAGGCTTAAAACTGGGAGACATTAAGTTCTAGTCCCACTCTCTCTCAGCCCTAGGAAGCAGGCAAGGGCAAACCCCTTCTGAAAATCTTGCCAAGAAAATGACAGGGATTTGTCCAGATCACCAGGAGTAAAAAACTACTCGAAGGGGGTAGGAGTGGGGGGAACAAAGCCATTTGTTACTTACACATTTTTATTTGCAAACTCATGACCTTTTTTGATGTGTAAAATTGGAAATGTATTTCAGGATGCTAGTGTTTCCCATACCTAACACTAGCATCCTGAAATACATTTCCAATTTTACACATCAAAAAAAGGTCATGAGTTTGCAAATAAAAATGTGTAAGTAACAAATGACTGCAAGGTTTATTTATTGTTTGTTATTTCAAGGAATGCCGCTAGTATAAATTGGACAGAAAAGAGCAAGCTATTTCTATCCTGGAGTTGTGAAATCTTGGCACCTCAATGGAAAATCCTCCTTCTCAGGAAATTCTCCGCAGTATAACATTTGGTAGACTTTTCAGAAAAAAGGGTTTTAAACATGAGTAGGCAATGCAGCAGGCATGCTTACTAAAAACATAGTAAGGAAATATTTAGCATGATAGGAATAATATCGGGATTCATTGAAATCTTGCAAGATGTAATTAATTTAGCATGAGATCTTACTTACTAATCTGACACAAGGTCTCATTAACTACTCAAAAGATTCCTTCCGGAAATCACACAAGAACTTGACAATTATTTACTTTTCTACTATGCAGCAGTATGCAGGTATGCAAAAGGCTTAAAAGTTCAGAGCAATTCCTAGAAAGAAAAAATATTCTAGATATACTGGTCCAGATCATTTATAACTGTCTGGAAATCAAGTAGGCTTCAATGTCATTATTATAAAACCTGCATTATACAGTAATACACTTTATAACTTATTAAGTTATTGAGTTGAAGTCCACAAGTCTTAAAGTTGCCAAGGTTGGAGACCCCTGATCTAAGGAGTAGCACTACCAAACCAATTGCTTCCATTCAACACATGCTTTCATGGGCCATAAGATCCTTCTATTATGTAGTTGGGGAGAAAGATTATAAAGTGCACATTGTTAGATATTGTCATTTTGCACAATATTAATTTGCTTGCGATGATATATCAATATTGCCTATTTATTTTTTTATACAATTTCATAGTTAATTATTGTTTATATTAATGCACAAGAGGAACATTATAATTTTACCTGTATTTTTTTTGAAATTAACTTACTTAATTTAAACCAGAATTTTGGTTCCACAGGCCATACATTGGCTAAGGTGAAATTTTATCTCAGAACTGGGGTGAATAATAGATCTATGTAAATTCTAGGAAAGCGAATATAAGACCATACTTCAACTTTATGTTCACTAATACATTTGAGTACAAGTGTCTTACTCTAAAGCCTGCTTGCAATTGAAGTTCCATTCATTTCTCTATATCCAGTACAGGAACAGGGACTATAGCATTGTCCCCTGAAGCATTATGATATTCTGAGATTAATGATAGTTGCTTTT